CAGCCATGTCAAGATCTCCACTGTCTCTTCTATAGCTAAATTTTAATTCCTCTTACAGCCAATTTTATCAGTGGCCTTAACCAAAGGAGTACTGAAGGTGTATTAGTGGACCCTTTCTTATGCAATGTGCTTGGCTGAGTGTATTGTTTTACTGAAAAATGTATAAAAAATTAACGTTCTGTGAATTAGTTCAAAAATTATATTTTTCATCAGACTATAAACTGAAATTCTTGTTTATGGGTTGTTTTAATAATTTATTGTATAATTTTGGAAAGTTCCTTATACAGTAGTTTTTATTTTGCTTGCCTTCAAAATGAAACTGTGAAGATGCCTGTTATTTTCATTTTATAGACAGCAAGCTCAGATTGACAGAAAGTGACTCAGTCCAGGGTTAAAGTGTCCCTTAAGCTTATTGGGTGAGTCTCTGTCCCTACAGTCAAAAGACGTTGTGTAGCAATTTCCTCTTTCTTTTCTGTACAGAACATTACTTGGAGGGAAGTGAAAGAGCGATGGGAGAACATGGGAATATTAAAAATGAAAGACACTCCCCCCCCCAATAAATGTCCATCAATTTCATGATATAAACCTGTCTGAAAGCTCCTTTTGCTTAGCCTGACTTATCTCAGAGATTCCTGAGAGTAAACCTGCGTGTGGGAGAGCAGCCCTACCAGCTCCATTTTAGTATGTTTGGTAGAGATGCCGTGAAGTGGCATTTCCACTGTTAGCAGCATTTCTTGTTATCGTAGATGTTTCCTACATGAAGAAGTGAAGTAGAGACTTGAATTTTGACAGGACACAAGGAAGCCAGTTAACGTGTTCTCTTTATTTTGGTCTTTTGTAGGACTCACAGGGTGTTTTTCACCAAGTGTGGTTTGACAATCCCAAGAGCATTTCTCTGAAAGCAGCCTACGCAAAAATGCATGGTCTGAGGGGCATTGGGATGTGGAATGCAAATTGTCTTGATTACTCTGCAAACTCTACAGCTCGACAGCAAACAGAAGCAATGTGGGAAGCCTTGAAAGGGGCATAATTTATAAGACAGCAGTGCTTGAATTCAGACAGCCGTGAATGGTTGGTTAATTTTTTTAATGGGTACAGTATAGTACACAAGAAAAAACTCTGAAGACTAACTGAAATTCAACTACATGGTTCCACAAACAGGGCCTGTGCTGTTGTTCCTTGGGGTTGTGATTTTTATTTATTTTTCCATAAAGAAAAGAAGTTATAACACTCATTCTAAGCATGTCATTTAATTCCAGGAAAAGAAAGGGGAAAAACATGTCATAAATATGGCAAATAAAATCTTTATAATTACAGTAAAAGCTTTTTGCTTAAAGTATGTGACTTATAAAATCAACACTTGGAGGGGAAGAAGATGGAGCAAAAAAGGATTGCATTAACAAACTGTTTTTAATTTGCAGCCTGGTTCAGAATATTCTGTGCACTTAGTGAAGTAGAGTGAACATTTTTATAGTTCATCTTAAATTAGTTGTAGAAGCAGCTTTGATTTTTCAGATTTTTAAAATAAATAATTGAATATTTTTATTTAATTCCCAGTAATCATGGTAATTGAAAATGGCAATTATTACTTTTAAAATCAATATACTGTTAAGACGTAGGTAGTTTCTCAGTAATGATATTGAGCTGACCTGAAGCACTATGAACATATTTAGAGGAGCTCCAGTGAAAATAGAGTCACAGTAGTGTGAAATAATTTACATACAGATGGCTGTAGTTACTCACCCAAAAAGGAAATACCAATAAATATTAGTTCACATATTTTATATTTATGGATTTCATTTTAAAGTTTAATTTGTTGTTTCTCTTAAACGCAATATACATTGCAGCCACATGCAGGCCTTTTCAGAGGTCAGTCAAATAATTTCTGTGGGTTTATTCTAGCATAAAAATTAGAACCAAAATTTTTCACATTTAGAAAGAAAATGCAGTATTCACTTTCTTTAAAATACGTGTAGTAAAATAAGAATGTGTCGATTTTCTTATTTAAGAAAAAAAACTTTAAAATTTCAGCTTTGAAATTTTCTTTAAATGACAGATGACTTGGCCTTCCAAATATGTTAATGTGTTCAGATGGTTCATTCTTTACTGGTATTTTCAGCCAATCACTAAATAACATGAGATTCTACCGTCTATCCATATCATACTCCATTACTCATCTTAGAACAATATATTGATGCTATATATCCAGCTGTATGTCTCCTTTCCATCCCAAGCTGGAGGCTGTGATAAGACAGAATAGGCACAGGATGAATCTCAGAAGATGGAGGTGCTTTTTGTTCAGAACCCTTCAGGTTCCAGAATTCCCTCCATCTTTAGCTCTGAACCAGGTGGATTACCCCTGAAAGAACAGGTCCTTGGTTTGGTTCTATTTCTGGATTTGTGGCTCCTTGTATGGCAGGTGATGCTCATGGCTATACAGAAGACAATGACAAGAGTAACTCATGCCCTTGTCATCTCATGCCTGGATTATCGCAATTTGCTTTACATGGGGCTGCCCTTGGAGGCAATTCAGATGCTTCAGTTGGTTAAGAATGCAACTGCCTGCATGCTGACTGGTAGAACAAAACCAATTTTGCAGGAGCTGCCCTTGGGTACTTCCAGATCTTAATGTTTGTTTATTTTATTCATATCCCTGCCTTTCCTTCAGGAACTCAAGGTAACATATATAGCATATGCTCCTCCAACTTTTCTGCACAACACTGAGGAAGGTTGGGCTGAGAGAGTGACTGTTCCAAAGTCAACGAGCTTCCATGGCTGAGGGTGGACTTGAACTTGTCTCTCTGGTTGGAGTCCAACACTTTTACCACTACACCAAACTAGCCTTTCATTACCTTCATAATTTAGATTAAAACACATGCCCCACAATGCTATAGAAGCATCAACCTTCAATAAGAAATCCCTTACTGAAAGGATTTACTCATTTTAAAATATGTGATACCAGAATTAGAGATGTTTGGCATTTGAAAAGTACAGTTCCTCTGGGAAGTGTTGCAAATTTTAATACCCTCTTATCTTCTTTTGCTCAAAGTAATTAGTACTTTTCTACCAACAGCACATTGACGCCTAATCCCTTGGTGTAGGGATAGATTTACAACTTGTCTTTCAGGCTGAAGAGCTTGAAGAAAGGGCTTGTCTAGGTTTACCACAGAGAGATTTACATTCCAGAAACTCATTCTCTAAGGACAAGAAAAGGTCTCAGATGTGAATACCCTATTTTTTTAAGCAAGCCATTAACTGTATCTCTAAACACCTTGGCGTTGTAAAATTGGCCCCATGTTCGGTCTTTCCAAAGGAATACACACTTGCTAAAAAGAAGCAATCCCAGCAGTTCAGAGTCTGGGACCCAGAGAATACGTGTAAGCTACTCCACATTATCTGCTTCTTACATTCTTCACCCCTCAACCATGAAGAACATTATAGCATTTCCACACATCTGGACCAACAAATTGCCTCACCAATGGCAGTTCTGACAACACAAAACCCAGGCCATTTCTGATGAAGTATATGTCACTGTTGTCCTTAACAGCAATAGCAGCTTGTGTATCTTTCAAATGGGCTCCTTCTGGTGTTGCTATTATCACTAAGAAGCTCAAAGCAGCAATACTGCAGCTATGGGAGGACATTTGCATTGGATGGTATTTTTACCTACCCGCACATGCTCAGTTGAACTGTTTTATGGTGAACTCGGGCAGAGGGAGGGCTTCAATGACTTTCCCGTGTTTTGGTACTGTTTCCATAGAGCTTTGAGAGCCTATTTGCCATAATTCTCTTTCCTTCCCTTTAGTGTCATGATCACAGCAATTCAGAAATATGTTTACCACTGTGGTACCCATTCAGCCTTCTTTATCTAAGCTTGATCCTATATCACTAAACTGATAGGATGCTATGGGCATGCATTTGCCATTCTTTTTACAAAACTAATTCATTTTTGTGCAGGAGGATAGATTTTCTTTTTTCTTTTTTTGTTAATTCGGTATCAGCAAACCCTAGAGGGCAGGACAGTAAATTATTGGCCAGTTTGGAAGCATCAAGGAAGAGCCCTACATTTTCTGCTACAAGCAAAAATATAGACATGCCTGAACTTTAAACGTTTGAATATTAAAATCGAACTGAAGAAAAGAAAGTCAATTAATTCCTCTGGCTTCATTTTATAGTCTTTGGAAACTGACAGTCTGATTGTTTGGAAGTACCTTTAAGCTTGAGAACCAAAAGAGAAAATATATGTTTTGTATTTTAAGTTAAAAGCAAGCACTCTTCTTTATACCAGAATTGCATCTGGATGGAGGAGATCAAATGCAGCTTTTCAAGAACCTAAACAGAGAGTTTTGCTACGTACATTAAAGTTCATAATAGGAGTTTTCCGCCACAGCCACTTTGCAGGACAACACCTACACAAACATATATGAAAAGGCCAACACAAAACAGAGGAGAGAACCTGTTTGTTTCTGTTGGTCCCAGTTCAACTTTTGTGTTCACAGATTTTGAGTAGATAACGTTTGTTCATACAGCTATAGCAAGAAACAAAACTGAAAACACATGTTTACTGTATGTAATTACTGTTTTTTGTACAGTAATAAAATGTTTATTGGTATACTTGACACAACTGAGTAATATAGAGTATCAAATGTACATGCCTCTGGCTTACAGTAAAAAAAATCTGAAAGGAGATTGGGGAATACTAAACAAAAATTTTTGTTTGCAAAACCTTAGATTTGCAATGCAAAAAAAAAGAGGAAATTTACTAATAATTCCGTCTTTAGGTAGACATTGTTCTTCCCAACCCAAGTATGCTATAGTTATAGCAAACTGTAGAGTTAAATTAACACAAGTCATTCTACCCCAAGAGATGATATGCAGGTGGAAGATAAGGGAAGTCAATTTCTTCACCATCCCCCAAAGAGGTAGTTCTTCAAAATGTTTATAGTGAGATTTTCTCCTTCCATTAAGAATGGTGTTGTAATGGATGCAACTAGGGTTCCCCCATCCAAGTTTGTTATTGCTGGTTTGCAGCACTAATGCCACATCAGCAGAAGAGCGAATGATTGGTTTAGCAATCAATATTTTTTCGTTATATACAAGCTTTGCTATGTTTAATCAAAATTTAACAGAAATTTTTGAGCAGCTATAGTGTGAATAATTTCATTAAAAAGTTTAGCTAAAATATTTGCTTTTCTGACGGGAATCTTAAAGATGACTGAACCTTCTTGTGTACCAGTTCTGCCTTCAGTGCTTGTAAATCAGAAGTTGCCTGTTTTTTCATCTACAAAAGATCCAGAGATTATGAAAGGAAGAATTAAATTACAACCCTTATTTTATAGATAAGTGTCAGCTTTTATGTGGTTTAACAAGCACAGCCTTGGTCTTTAAACTTTCAAGTCTAACTGGTTATAGTACAAAGTATTCTGAGACATGTTAATGCCTCAGGTGATGGCAGATCTTAACATATATAAGGCATCACGTTTGACAAAAACGGGAAATTGGCTAAAGAAACATCATACAGTAGATTGTATTGCACATCTGCGCTCCCATCACTCAGTCTCCTGTTCATAACATTTTTCTATCTATGGCAAATGCCTAAAATATTGTTACGATCCACATTATTTGTATAGTAGCATCAATGTGTAACATGCTTTATAAGCAAATAAGCAAAACCTGCCCAAAAAGTGTGCTTTGTGAGGGATTTTCTGGTACACAAGAAGAGTGAGCAACAGCACTCATACCTTTTGTTTCTGATTTTAGCCTCCCATTAGTATACTCCACTGCATACACGCGACTTGGAAGTAAGACCCTACTAATGCAGAAGGCTTTCTTATTGGCTGTGCTGGCTCAGGAGGTTGAGAATTGTAGGAGCGTGTTTGAGGAAGGCTTAGTTATATGATTGGTTTGACATGGGAATGTAAATAACAGTAAAGATCATTTATTCACTGCCACTCACCTTCCTACTGAGAAATCCATGACAAGCTTCTAAGGACTTCCTCAGATCACAATTTCAAGACCATTGGAACAAGTGTTTATTGACACATTTTTAATTAGTGTAAAATTATTTGTCAATTGCTCTGAATCTACAGTGCAGCATGAGTGTATACACATGTGTGTACATATAAGAGATGTATTACATTGGCCATGTTTAACTCCTCCTATTAATGGTATCATATAGGCACACAATATTATATATACCACAGAAAAAGGAACTTCCCTTCTAGAGCGGCTCTTCTTTTGGGCTTTGAATGTTTTCAGATTAATGGGAACCTTTAAGATAGTAATCTTCCCATGGCTTCAAATGCTGCACAATTTTATCAACAGGACTCATCAGAAATCTCAAAATCCTTGCACGATAGTGGTTGAAGGGTAATTCAACAGTTCCCTGATAGAGGCTACTGAAAAGAACAGCATTGGTGTTCCATGTAGCTGGTACAATCTAAAGCCTCATTCTCCATGCACTAGTCTATACCAATGTGCTGCATTTGTTTTTTCAAAGGGTACTTAGTGCTGGCATGGAGATACAGATCATGTATGGGCTGACCGCAGGGTAAGAAGTTTTTAAAAGTTACTGTTGATGAATGGAACAGTGATAGGGAACTAGTGTCTGTAGGCAATTTTCAGCAGTATTTCCCCATGTCACAAATAATACCATCTTCTAATCTTAATTCCTCCCTTTATTTTTTCTTAGCCCTTACATACAGTAAATTATCAGTGCAAGCCTATATGTTCAAAAGCAAACTACAGTTGTTTCAATGTATGCACTTATGAAAGCAAATGTGGAATCATTTACTCTAACTGGTTGATATTAGAAAAACAGAACTGAGTCTCTATGTAGCTATATAGATAATTTACTGTTGAAACAATACTATTGCTTGGGTTTCTGATCCAAGTAGTGTTAGATAAAAATGTTTCTTCTGAGAACCAAAACAAAGTACCTAGAGTGGAATAGTGATAGTCACCTCAGGAACATTGCTAAATGGAACCAAAAAGATGCACATTTGCACAGAGTTCAATACTTTGGTGATTCCAAATGATAGTATAACCAAAACAAACAACCCCCCCAAACCCTAATGAAGATTTCTTGACTGAACAGGTGTATTCCTCAGATGTCAGCTGTCTGTGCTTCATTCTCAGAATATGTCTCAAGAACTCAAACTAACTGCAAAGCTAAAATAAATATTTTCCTTGATTTCCAATTGTTTAGCATTTGGTGTATTAAAGGCCACTCTTGGGATAATCCATGGTCGACTGTTACTGGCTTCACTGATTGTATGTATGTGTATGTACATATGTGCAAGTGCATGTACGTGTGTAATAAATTAGTACAATACCTTGATTTCTATGACAAGCTTCATTTTGGCATTGTCTAACTTTCTCTTTAGCTGGTCAATTTCACGCTGCAGAGTTGTAATCTGGATTATTACATTATTCTATCAAACAAATAAACCCCCAAAATTGATTTAGAACATAACTTCATATATAAAAAATACACTCAGTGATATAATTATTACTCAGTGATACAAATTAAACTGATGCCTAGAGGCTGTGCAGGAGTTGCTTTTAAAATATATATTATTAATTACTTTAGCACTCTGAACAGTTCTTTATGTCATCCTTCAGAAGAATATATGTTAGTGTATCTCACATAGGTGCTCAGATGATGTATTGACCACAGAACAGAGCAATGCTTCCATATATTGGCTACAATAAGCTCGGTCAATATTTGAATGTTTGTCTTGCTAAGGCCAGCCTAGATTTACCCAGTTAAAAATGGATTTGACCTTCCCTTGTGAAATTGCCATTATAGGAAATTTGAGAGATTTTCTTTAACAAGGGAAAATGTAACTTGCAAAGGTGAGAGTGACCCACCAATAATCTTACTGCCACAGTCTAGACCAGTTGTAGCTTTTGGATCACATCCAAAGGCTGCCCCAAGTAGAGTGCATTACAATAATCCAACCAGATGGTGATCAAGGCATGAATTACTGACCCCGGGCATCCTGGTCCAGATACAGTTGTAAATGGTGCTCCAGCCAAAGCTGGACAAAGTCAACCCTGGCCACAACTTCTACCTCCTTGTTAAGCAGTAGCTGAAGTCCAGGCATACCCCAAGTTGCACACCAACTTCTTTGCAAGCAACACAGCCTCATCTAGGATAACCACCAAGATCGATGTTCCTAGAAATTTATTGATGAATGGCAATTCATTTAATCTGAGCTTATTTTGCTCCATCCAGACCATGATAGCCTCTAGGCATCAGTTTAAGCTTTCAACAACATCTCTGGTTTGACCTGGGGTGTCAATGTACACTTGAGTATCATCAGCATACTGATGACAATTCATCCCAAACCAATAAATGACTCCCTCCCCCCAAACAGCTTCATACAGTTATTAAATAGCATGGGGAAAGCAGCAAATTCTGAGGTATCAGACTCAAGTAATCAAAGCCTTGAATGCTGCTCCCCCATGACTATCAATTGAAACTGCCCATTCAGGTAAGAGTGGAATCATTGCGGAACAGGGCTTCCTACACCCAGCCCTCCAGTAAAAGACTATAGTCAATGGTATTGAAGGCCACTGAGAAGTCCAATCAGCTCAGGTGACTGAATCTGAATCCTACCTGGTAGGAGTCTAGATAGTCTTTCTGTAAGACTCTCTGAAGCTGAGCCACCATCATTTTCTCAACAACTTTCCCCAGACAAAGATATTTGAGTTCTTCTTTTTATTTATTATCACACAATGGTTTTTTTTTTCATTCTCTTATTTGTTTGCCACATTCCCATGGTGGTGTTTCTTTTAAAACGTATGCTAACTCTGGTGTGTGCTTTAGACTTCTGCGGCTGTTGTGTCTATGACCTTAATATTTACTGAAGATATTAATCTTTGTTTTGGCCAAAGCTATACAAGCTTTGGCCAATTTCCTTGGATGCAAAGTATAACACATGCCTTTGGCAAGGACAACTGATGTCCCTTTCCTCCTTTTTGTTCCCCTCCAAGTTTGTTTTCTTTGTCATCGCTGTTCTTTTGACTTGTACTGTTTTTGTGTTTTTGTATTGTTCTTTGTTTTTAAATGTTTTTAGCAATTGTAAATCACCCAAAGTTGCTGGGAGTCGGGTAGCATATAAATTTAATAAGCTGTTGTTGTTGTTATTATTATTATTATTAATAAATTATAACATGTTAAAAACTATACTAGTTCAAAGCGATACAGTGACCTTTGTGATGACCCTGTTGCTATAAGTACTTGAAGTCTTCTTAAATAATCCTTTTTTTCCCTACTTACCATAGTCTAGAAAAATACCTATTAGATACAAGGAGACCGCTGTACACTTGACCTACTTATGTGAAGCCTACCAAAGAGAAACAACAGACACGGATGTCTAAACCATAGCAATCACATTTTTAAAAAAAAATTCACAGCACCATTGTGTGAAACGCTGAACTGAATTTAAAAAACTCAGACACCACAAAGTAGGTTTTCAGTACCCTCCTTAGAGTTAATAGTCAATAAAGAAACATGAGGCATATAGCTGGATTATATGAAATTGTGACTTAGCAGGAAGATAACCTGAACAATAGGAGAAAGTTTACCAGGTGGGGAAAAAACAAGATAGGACAGTTCTTAGACAAATTAACCAAATTGTCTTGATATCTGGAGGGCATGATTCATATGGGAAGGATTTAATTAATTTAAAACTTTATTCTCATGAATTTTATTGTTGAACCAGTAAAAAGACAGAATGAGGAAATCAAGGGGGAAAACCCTGCAGAATATTTTCCTTCATTTTTGTCTATGGTACATTCTCTTCATTAATTAGAATCATTATATATTTATAGTAATTTATGTTAAATCATAATTAGAACGTAAATATAGGCACTATATAACTTGAGTTTAATTTCTGCATAGCTTCAGCTTTGGGCATTTTTAATTTACAGTATATTAAGAGTCAGTCTGCTTAAAACTCCATGATCATAAGATTCTAAGATTTGCTGTACTGATTGACAAAGCTTAGTTTTTATGGACAAGGACGGTTAAAAAAAAAATTAATTACCTTTGAATTGGCGGTTTGTGTTAAAATATTTCGCTTTTTCTTGGTATCTCTAGCTTCTAGCTGCCTCAGTACTTTTTGGTGGTGAAGTTCTAAATTTTCTTGGAATTTATTTAAAACTTCCTCTGAGGAAATGGTGACTTTCTTCATTTCAAAATATTTCTTTTTCCAGGAATCACGGGCTGCAAGATTAAAACAATATATTTACAGTATATGATTCCTCAGAAAAGTATTCCATGCAATTAAATAGTTTTCATTCCAAATTTACGTATATGGATTGCAGCTAAAGAATCAGGGAAACATATATTTGATTCAACATAATTAAAAGTTGAAAAATATTTTTTATAAGTCTGAATCCTGATGTTGGACAAAATTCAGTTTTTATAGTTGTTGGTCCATGAAAAAAGTAGCTGTATCAACCTAGAACATACCATAGCATCTCCTGAGCTTATGCTGTTGAATTAAGGCTTTCACTTTTTTAACCAGTTCCTCTCTAGTCTTTTCCAGGTGCTTTCTTTCTATCTTGATATGTTGCAGCTGCTTATTTAATTCATTGCCTGAGAAAGAAGAAATTCCATATTTATTATACTGGTAAAAATAATGAGAACCATTCGGAATAAACAGTTTCTCCACAAAAAAGAGAAGCCCAAAATTAGAGTAAAAATGTGCCATTCTCCTATTAGTCAATGCAGGCTTGATCCACAGCAATAAAATAAAACGTACTCAACCAAAAAAGTTTTAGTGGTTGGCACTGGGTTGTAAAGATAAGTATCTTGAGTATTCTCATTTGACACAACTGTCTAGCATGTGGGAACTACATAAATAAATTAACTCAGCAGATAATCTGAAGGAACAATGACAGTGCCTAAACGACTGTACTCTATCAAGAATTTCTTCCCATACTTTGGATCCTGAATTAAAGATGAAAAATGCTATATGTTGACAGCTGCAAGAACAAATGTGACAGAATATTGGAAAAGATAAATGTTGTGATGATATTAGGCTAGGAGACTAAAATTGGAGAATATGTTGCCAATATTCATAACAGAAGTTCAATCAAACTCAAACAGGAATGGCTCCCTTATATACAACATATTACACAGCAAGGCAAATTTAGACCTTTGGAATATGGTTTCTAGGACTTAAACAGAAGGTAACAATCTTAAATGTTCAATGTAAAGTATAGATATCTGACCTGTGGTCAGCATTTGGGAGCAAAAATGGAAGGGTAGGGGAGAATATGCTAGTAGAGAGTCCTTTTATAATGCCTTTAATCTATATGTAGTTATTCTTTAGCTTCCTCCTATTTTCTGTCTTTTTCTCTTTTATTTTTAATTTTTAACAATAAAATATTTTTTAAAAAACTAAAAAAAGATGAAAAATTCATATACATGCATGTACCTACACGCGTATCTCTGTAGCTAAACTGGGAACAAAGGAATGGAGAGCTGAAAAGCACTTTTAAAGGATGCCTAAATTGATAAGATTAATAATATACCTTGATTATTACAATGTCTCTTGCACAATCTCTGTGAAGAATACACATTTATTTTTGAACAAAAGAATAGAAATTATGTAAGAGCCATTCCTAGGAACCTATGTTAATCCTATATACAGATAGTGATCTGAATGTGTATTCTTATGAACACAAAATGCCATCCACTCAGGACAGGTAGTTACTATTAGGGTTAGAGGAGGAGGAGGAGGAGGAAGAGGAGGAGGAGGAGGAGGAGGAGGAGGAGGAGGAGGAGGAGGAGGAGGAGGAGGAGGAGGAGGAGGAGACAGCAACTTCAGAAGAAAAAACAACAGACCTAATTA